CGTATCACACTATCCGCAGTCCGGAACGCCGCAATCACCACATACTGTACTTGTTCCACTTCCACCTGGTGCAGCTCCACCAAATGCACAGCCGCACATGTACGTCCAAACACCGGTTTGTTGTTTGCTTGTATGTTCACCTTTCACTCTTTTAGTTCATTAATCAAAAGATCATAGTGATAAATGACACTATTCAAATGAAGTGTTAAATGGGTTTTATGGAAGTTAACTGTGTGTGTTAAAAGTGGTGAATAAATGAAAGAGATTCTGGCACTCTTTGAAAAGAAAGGCGAAATATTCGATTTGTTCATTAGAGATGAGCATCTTAATCGGAACTTGAAAGCGGCTCTCATTATGTCTTATTAGGAATCAGACATTCTGATCAGATGCTGCAGACTGAATTCACTGAGAAATATGTTGATCGTTGCTGAATTTGAGAAAAGTAATTCATTAATTGATACGACAGCATACTTATTGATAGCAGGTCTCATAGATTAAAATTTCATTTGCATGCTTTTTATTGTTTGTCTCAGTGAAGGTATATGTATGACTGTGACTTTTCATATGTGCAATTACACATAAGTGATAAACTCATATGAATTGAATTTGCTAGATGTAAATTTTTGAACTAAAAGAACACTGCGAGCGAATATTATTCGCTTTATTCTTTTTCTTCTGATTCAAGCAGTTGATTCTTAGAAATACAGAAAAGCATCGATATCTATTCGTTGCAGCAGTTCCCGTTCATTACGTCTGGACAGCCAGGCTTTGTGATGGCGTATGGTCCGCAACCAGTTGTTGTTCATCCATCTGTCGCAGCATCAGCGGCGCATGTTCCGTTTTCACAAGCACATCAAACACATGCACAAGTAAGAGTTTCACTTTGTTTTTTATAATGACCTCACATTGATCAGGATTAAAACCTGAATTTCTCTTGATAAATCTTTTTGCTGGGCAACATCCTGACCCCTTGATTAGGTCAGGTATTCAGTTGTCATGTTTGCACTGGAAAAAGTGCGATATTCTAAATGACCCGACGGCTCGTTTTTGTCATCAAAATAATTAAAAGGTTCGCATAAGTATGGATGAGAGAGCCGCACTACTGGGTGTTACTCAAATTATTTGAGTCATTTCAGTCGAGTATGTTCGAACAATACCAAGGAGCAGCTATTGAAACGGCTGCTTTGCAACAACCGCAGGTACCGAGTACTTTGCCTCATCAGCCCTATGTTGCCGGTGATCAATTTTATGGTCATTACATGCACCGTAAGTTGCTCAGTTTCTCCTTTTTTCAAATTAAATTAAGGGAGGTAGAAGTTTAAAGGTGAAGAGATATGTGCCGTTTTTGAAAAGATAATAGTAACAAACCAGTCATCGAAATTGGCGACTGATTTGTTTTCGTCTTCTGAAATTTCACTTTTTTCAGCACAACAGCAGCATGGAGTATTCCAGCAACAACAGCAGCAGCAACAACAACAGCAACAGCCTCCGCCACTTCAACAACAACAAGCAGGTAGTGCGGGAGCAATACGTCACAGTTCAGTAAACAGTGGGGTTTCCGGCCCACCACATCAGCACCAACCTTTTCAAACTGGTGGTGCTTCTCAAAACAGTGCGGTTCCACCAAATGGTCAGTGTTGGAAGTTATTTGGCTTTAGCTGCTTTTTATACAAAAAAAATTATTTCAGCTTAAAATTTAAATTTTCTTGCGCTACAGAATTTTTTTTACGAGAAATGGCGGAAGAGATTGTTCTTGTCGAGCGCATCTGCGTTTAATTTTGCAACTAATCTTGTGAAAGTGTTGTAGATTGATTATTGTTGAGATTTATTTTATTGTTGAGAATTGTATTGGAACAATTTTAGTATCAAAGGTGAAATGATCAGTAGTTGATTTGATGATAGTTGGAAGTGGAGACGATTAAGCGTATAGGTGTTGAAATGATTGAATAAAAGAGAGTGTCCCGATGATATATTTGACAGTTTATATATCCAATGTGGGGCAGTACCAGAATAATAGATAATGAGTTTAATGGCTAATGCCAGGGTCAGGTGATTTTATGTTGGGGAAGGAAAAAGCGATGGGAGCAAAGGGGTATTAGCTACATCTGCTACCATTAGGACAAAGGAACAAAGGCGTTGTAAGGAATCTCTTAATGATTTGTAGCAACACAAGGAAATTAAATTTAA